CCGGACACTGAGCTATCACGGCTCTATATCTATACTATTCTATAAATATACTATTCCAATAAGAATTTCTTTTTATCATTAACGACTTTCGGCACGGACTGGCCAATGATCGATATTAAAATTCATAGAGCAGTAGTGATCAAAATCAATACCAGTGGATATCTTCGACTGCTATTTAAGATAAAAAAGACGTAGATGAAATATAAACAAAGGAGTAAAGAGAAGTGGAACGTTATCATCTTTGTTTTAATCGTTTTAAGTATTTTGAATTCAGATACAAAGATAAAAAAGATAAAAAAAACTCTTTGATACATCTACAAATATGACCTTGTTATTAAGTTAGTAGGTATATTTCTGCGATAATGATTATGATTATACATCTGAACTGGATTAATTGCAAAGTGTGTTATTGAAACAGAGTCATGAATGTATTACTTTCAACATAATGGCCATGATTGTCTGGAGATAATTCTATATCATTTAACACTTTGGACTTTCTCACCTTTTAAAGTAGCAGTATTTTGAATTGTTACTACAGATGATTTTGTCATTCTCCTTATTTTAACTGTTACAAAGAATATATATATATGCTAGCTAGTAAAATTATTACGGTATATTGTAAACTTCGAACAACGGGCGATAAAGCACGAACCACCATTTTCGGAGAGTTTTAACTTTTGGTCGAAACCGAAATTGTGGACTTTGTTAGCCGACATCGAAACTGATGCCCATTCTTTGGATCGATATTTTAAGTTACTTTATAACAACAAAATTAAATAATTGCATTAATATTAATTAAAAAGCATTAGAGCACTCACGATATAATGTTATACTTTGGCTATCTACACTCAGATTCAAACTTCAAAAATATAACAAACATTGGCTTCGCTTAGACAGTCCTAAATAGATGAGTCAGAATCAGAACTTGATTATTATTTATAAGTGCTCAATTGCTCTGGGCGCGTCAGCCGATTATTTCAGTCTGTTTCTTATCAACTACGATGGGATCGACAAAGACATGGCTTTTTAATTGCGATGTCTTTGGTCATGGGCGGGCATCGACATGAATTAAGGCGATTTAAGATTTTCCCGCTACAGATCGCGGTGTTTCGGCAAATTTAGCACGCGGCGCGCGGTCCGTGGCGAGCTTTACAGTTCGCCACCGTTACGCGGCGATTAAGTTGCGCACGCGCAACGTGCTACCTAACCGACGCCCTATTGCGTTCGTAACGCTCCCGCACTTGTCATCATAACTGCTCCACATATAATTTATCATAGCATTCCGCTAGCCTAAACAACAGATCTCGAAGTGCGTCAAATTACGTTTTTATTTAATTGCCTTCAAAAACGATCCATGATTGATTGCACTCGCTCTGCACAATAGATTTCTTTATTTTTAAATAGAATTTATCGCAGGCGTGAGTTCATTCTAATTCCAAATTAATAACCGTCGATCTCTCCACCAAGTAAAAGTGTATTATAAATATTTGGACGGGCGACCCAGATCTTTCACGAAATCAGCGGCCACGCTGATCGCGCAAAAACATCTAACAAATCAACACCAAATAAAAGGTGTGAAAAGGAAGTGAAATAGATAGCAGAGAGTTATGGCAAGTCATGCGCCGGCGCCGACCGCCGCACGACCTGCCGTTACCCCGACATTCGCTGCAATGTGCCATCGTGGTTTAATGGATTAAGTGGTAGGGACATTAACACGTTAACCCACATTTGCTGCATTAAATTCTTTCGGAAAATGACTCTTTCGACATGATTAAAAGAGTCGATGCTGCTATCAAATAATTTCGTCGTCTATGCGTGTTGTTGTCGTTTTAACAATATGTTTAGAGACTGTGCACAAAGAAATAGCAATTGTTATGAAATAGGAGCGAGTAAATTACTTGTAACATTGTTGGCTAGTAGCTGCAGGTTTCCATTAAGTGTGTTTCTCGACTTCGTAGCGACGACCCACTTCGATAGCCCTTACAAAAAGATTTTGCTTATGTTTTAAAACTGTTATTTATTAATGTCGGTGCGATGTACTATGACGACGTATGATAAAAGAAATAAAATTCTTATTACAGAGAAGGTATGGAAAATGAAACAAACTATTTGAAATCATAGCGTTAATATTACTGGTATCAAAAAGTCTCACGAATCAAAAATTTTCATAGAATAATCGTAAGTCGTAGGGTTTGTATGGTAATTTTTGAAATTATCTGAGTCAATTATGAAAAGCTCTACAACAATCAATATTTGTATATATAAAGCACTATCCCTCAGGAAGCTAAGGCTACATTTTATTGATATGACTAGTTTTTAGTAGTAACAGCAATGTTTCTACATATGTCAAGTAAACCATATAAAACTTATATATTGACTGTAAAAATAACGTAATTTAATATTTATTTATTGTGCTTAATCCTTATCACACATATTTCAGTACGTGTTATGGAAAATTAAAATTCGAGTACAGATTATTTATGATTTATTGCCTAATTAAGGGATGAAATTCCATTCAAAAAGTTTCAAACTGTTATAGATCTATAAACGACGGAAAATTCATCATTATAATCTATTCTAAAAAATTACTTTACCATTGCTGATGCTAGTATCAGTTAGCTTTAGATAAATTTTCATAAAGTTTTCTCTGAAAGGTGTTCTCTTAAAAGCGGAGTGTGTTTCGTCTGGTGATTGAGAATCCTTCGAATTACTCTTTTAAAGGCAGACCTGGATCTGCAACGTCACTTTTATTATTGATGTCTATGGGCAGTGGTAATATTTCTAAATTTACGATAGTTCTGTACGATTGTTTCTTATAAGGTCATAAGACTTTTATCTACGATCATAAGATAATAGTTACATAAACTAAAATTATTAATATAATAGCTATCGACGCTTTTAAGGACTTAGGGGCTGCAACAAAAAAGAATTGGCTCGTATTGTATATTAGTATTTTAGACTACGTGTAACATATGACCGTTTTATTAAAGCAGAACAAAGCAAAATAAATAGCTCCTTTGAAGTTTTTGAAAAAACTGTATTCGCATCGAAATATTGCAGCGCGTGACAAGAAAACCCGTTATTTTCTCCCTCAAAGGTTAAATATTACCATTCAGTAAGAAAACCTGTGTAGGTATCTAGCTGTGTAGCCTTGAAAGTAATGTTATTATATTATTTTCCCTATTACTGTATTTAGAAAATTTTTCTTCTTTATATTTATTACAGATTCACAGTTAAGTATTGACAATAGATTATTGAATAAGTAATAGATAATAAATAAGATGAAAAATATTTTTATGTTACGATATATACCTACGTTTTTTTAAACTTCATGAATATTATTAAATTAAAAAAAAGAAATTTTAAATTCAAATTTTAAAACAGGAATTGTTTATTGCTTTCTTATATGTCACTAGGAATAGAATAGCAAATTTAAGCAGCAGTGACATAATTGTAAGACCTGCAAGTATGTTATAAGAATTGGAAAGAAACTACTAAAATAAATAAAAAGAGATCTGCATTTACACTGCCGCTTTTTGCTTTCACGTAAATTTCATTATATACATATTTTAAATACACTCCTTTATTTAAGAGGGCCTTTCAAATATAACAGCCAAGTCCGATTATCTCCTAGTACATTAAATATTAGAGGAGTTCTTTTTCTACTACGTATTTGTGCGTTACAAAGAGGCAAGTATCAGATCTTTGTTATTTTCTTTAACAGTGAGAACATGGGAACACTCATTACAGAAGTCGGTGGAGAGACAAGTTCTTTTCTTAGCTGCATGTGGCCTGCGGCACTACGCACTATAATTATTTTGGAAGCGAGTAATTGAATCCTACTCAAATAAAAATAGTTCGAGATTTGCCGTGCAGGATGTAATTTGAGATTTACATCGCGGAGATAATGAAAAGCAATGTGAATGACAATATTAACTTTCACTGTTAAATCAACATGTCGTAGTTGGCCTTAAATCCTAATTCGGTAACCACATCGATTTGGGTTGCAAGCGGTCGTTTCATAGAGGAAAAAAGATTATATGTATCTTAAAAGCTAGAAAATGAGATCAAGAAAAGGCAAAGAAGTAACAAATTTCTGTTAATTGCTTGGAACAACAAAAATTAGTTAATGACAAGTAATGTGTTTTAATTAGTTATTTTTAATTTTTTTTTGTGAAATGTCACCAAACTTGATGTTAAAGTGTACCCACCATGTAGATCTGCAACACCGAACAGGTTGCAATTTTGTTGCCAGCCTTGCCATAATAAAGTGGGCCCCGGTTACCTCACTCACCAGACGAAACGCGAAAGTTTACTGTTCTACTTCACGCTGGTCCTCTGTGAGGCCAAGGTACTTCCTCGGACGAGCCTGCACATTCTTGCAGCAGAAGCTGCTGAGTGGTTCTACCACAGGTAAATTGCTTGATTTATTTATTTTATTATATTTATTCAAGGCTAACTTTCAGCTAACATACAACGATTAAGATGTAAAAAAAGTGAAAAAAGATATATATATATATATATATATATATATATATATATATAGACATATATATGTTTCTAACAAATAAACGTAAACGTAACGTTTCTAACAAATCGTGACAGGAAAACATGAGGTAGGTAGAGAAGTAAAAAGAAGAAAAATAAACATAAAAGCAATGTTCTTAACAAAGTAGTTCGTTCGCAACCTAATCATCTAGGATGCAATGCGCAGATTGACAAAATTTCGGATTATTGGGATTATAAATAGGAAGATTAGAACCATGTGTGAGAAATACAGGATATCTTCCTGTTAACTAGATTAGACCAAACGTCCTAGTCATTATGTCATTATCACTGTAACCAAAATTAGAAAGTGTGCAAGATATAAAAGACACTCAAAATATTATGTAAATAATATAATTATGTACACATCTGATTCCTATGTTAATTTAATACAGCAAATACTGTCAGGTACATAAATGTAATTATGTTTTATCTAAGCTAGTTTCATCGGAGGAATGCTGTGCCGCCGTGTTAGGTTGATATCGATGGCGTACACCGATGCCATTTGGAGTTCCGTTGCACTGTCCCCTGTTAAGGCGTGGTTTGGGCTCGCCGGTGTTAGTGGCAAATTGCAGTGTTCAGCTCTGGGCGCTTTATTGAAAATCCGATCTATCCGCTGCAATGACTCCGCGGGGAAACCGGCGAAAGTACGCTCTGCGAGCAAGCTATAAGGGTCACAGTCGTTTGGCCACTACATCGGCCGGAATCCGTTATCCGGCGTCAGGTTACGGTCACGTCTATAAAAGACGGTGGCGTCTTCTTCACCATTTCATTTCGTTCGGGACGCCTGGTCGGCTGCGTGGTCCGTGTCTGCACGCGCCCCGGTGTCACTCGTGTCGGTGTCCGTGAGCACCCTGTCTGATTCGCTCGCTTAGGGTCCAGTGCTCGCGCAGTTGTGTTCCGGGACACGGTTTAGTTGCGTGGGACAAACGAACTGACTTTTCCTCAGAAGAACGGAGATAAAGAAGTCGGCGTAAAGCCCGAGGTACGTATGATGTAATGAAACTTAAAAAAAAATATTTAAGGTATTTGCTGAAGATATCGGGAAGGCAGAAGGTAAGGTCTTTCAATTAAAGCTCTCCGTACCGGAAACATTACCTTGAATTTATAGTTTAATGCATTTGCAGCTGTGGTCCAATATTTACCGGACGGTTAAAGTCTCTTACAATTCACTTCGGAATAATAAGGTCATATTTATTGGCATTGTTTATTTTTAGCTTGTCTATCTGATGTTAGAATTGACTGAAATGGTATAAGTGCAATGAGCACTAAAACATATAGAATTTTGTTTACTACAAAGTTACTGCAAAGTTAGTTCAAATTTTTATCGCAAATTTATTGCGGTATGAGTTTGAGGACAATGTCCTTTGCATAAGAATCGTTAAGGCGTTTGGGAACTGCATTTAAAATTATAAAACTATTTAAAACTTTAAAAGCATTTTATTTTTTAATTGAGAACTTTTAATGAACTCCCTTATATTTATATGGTAAATCGCCTCTTCGTTCGTGATTATTCATTTTGACAGTGACACTAAAGAGTTTTGGAAATGGACAAAAGTTTAGTAAGAAAGAATGTCTTTATTCTTTCTTTGAAAACCGATCAGGATTAAGGGAACGCATGACGTCAAGCTCCCTCAAATCATTTGTTAAATGAATGGATATTTTAGTTTGTATAAATCATTTCAAATGTAAATTAATACTTAGTAGTAATGTAAAACTGAAATTATGAAAACATAATTATATTTAAAAATATCTAACGAAAATAGTGGTTGTGCAACAAGCACCTTTTCCTTCTTCAAATAGCTTGATGTAGTTTATAATTTATATAATGTTGTTTTGATTATAATTTATAAAATTTTATAAAATTTTGTTTGATCACATCTGGCGATGAAAGGATAAAAGTAAATTGAAAGGATATTAAGATAAGACAAGATATAGTAATGTGCTTCCAAGAAAAATTGAATTATTTCAGTTCATAAAGGGCTAAGTGTAATGACCTTGTTGTACGAGATTGTTAACCTGTGATATTAGAGGCATTTGAACTATGCAAACTAAAGAAAAACAAAACAAAAAAATCGGATAGCTGTAAAAATATATGTCTGTGTGGGTTTCGATCTCGTCTATGCCTATCGAGCTTTCAAACAATATGCTTAAAAAAATCTAAATAATGTCTTCGTTGACTACCGTAATCACCTTGTTCCTTCTAGTTAGTGCAAATTATATTTTCAAAATAAACTGCAAGTATCATATAAATTTTATCGCGTTAAATTTTCCTTCAGTTGGCGATGTGTTATAGTAGCGGTAACTTGAATATCATCCCTACTTTTCGCGGAAATTAATGCGCAAAGCAAGAAACAATTTTTTAAGAAAGATTTATTTTAAAAAGTAAAACTAAGTAAGTGTTTAAGCGTTTGGCACTGCACTTACGCTAATCATGTAAAATGACAGGGGTATAAAACATTGTCTGCTGTCAGAGTGAAACTCCTTGAAAATTTATTCGCACGGTCTTACCTAGCTTACTCTGCGCAATGAAACAGCCTGGTATTGGTACGTAGATGGTGAAATGATTGCCGTCATTACTGGGGAATTATAAGTGGGAGTCGTCGGCATCTACAAGCATTACATGCACTCGCGTGAGATACCAACCGTTGCTTGCTATTGTGCGATTAGATTTTTTGTTTAACGAAGGGAACTGCCCTTGTTATACCACTACCAAAATGATGTTTTTCAATAGTAAAATCTCTCTAGATACTCAGGATATTACGTCTGATGTCGCAGTATCCTTTTAAGGCATTTTTGGATGTAGGTGCAAACCTAACATAAAAAAAATAAGTTTTCTGCTTCGAAAGATCTACCCGTTACAGGTGTATAATCTGCTTTGCTGAACTTATTCATAATTATATTGTTTCGACTCTAGTAAGTTTCGACAAAATATTGTCATTTTATAATAAACGTAATTATAATAAATTCCAATTTTTATGTATGTTCCGTTTGCTCCAGGGAAAAAAATTACACCTATTTAAAATAGGGAAATTTGATCATTTTTGGCTTTAAGTTTTTCTTTTGAACTACAAATCTAATGCAAAATCTATTAAAATAAATTTAAATTCATCCTTTTTGTAGCATAATAAATGCATTTATTGCAACATAAAAAATTAAACATCAATATCGTTATTGCAAAGTATTTAATTTCTATAAACATCTATAAATGTTCTATGAATGTTACTAACCATAGACGTAATTTAAAAATTTAAACAGACAAAAATAATTGTGACAATTTACATTTTGCAATGCTCAATTAAAAATGTTTTACCATATGCAATGGTTAAGGTAGGGACTCGAGTAAGAGCAAGTCTAAAATCTTGCTTGAAACTGGTTCTAAGGCGAGCGTCTTAGGGAAGGATACTCGTTATTAAAAATTCCCACTCGTCCTGGGACTTGACTCGCGTAATTAAAATTAGCTTTAATAATACACTTTCATTGGTGAAAATATTTCACTGATTTATATATATATAACAATTAAAAAGGTAGCCCGGATTTAGTGTAGCATGGAGACATCAAACAGTTCAATCCTCCCTGTATTTTAAAAAAGTCGGACACGCGCACGAAGGTCTGTTGTATAGGAGCCCCCACTTATCTTATCCTTTAAACGAGCAATTCTTGTATACGTATAATCGGAATCTCGGAAACGGCTCCAGCGATTTTCATGAAATTTACTATGTGCATAGATTTGAGGGCGAAAAATCGATCTAGCTAGGTTTCATTTTTAGAAAATGTCCTTTTGTCCCTGTTTTCAGAGAATGACAAATATCATTCGAATATGACGGAAAATTTTGCCACAAAAAGAAAAGGGTTATAATAGCTCGGTCGGTAATCGGGCGGCCCCAAAACAGACGGCCGCTGTTCGTATCACGATCAATAAACACTTATTTTTTTTCCGTTTTCCATACCAGATCATTGCTTTCTTTATTTTTTTTTATTTCCAAAATACAGGATTTACAAAAAAAAAAAAAACCGAGCAAAGTTCGGTCCTCCAGGTACTGTATCTAGTGTGAAATATTGGACAAATAGCGTTGAAATCTTTTACTCGCGTTCAATTCGGTTTTTGATTTCGTTTTCCACAATTTTTTATAGGACTAAAATAGTTGAAATTTTGTCACGCAAATAAAACTTAACTACAAACAGTTAAGTTTTATCCTCTTAATTTACCAAATTCCTAGTATGTACATAAAATAATTACCCTGATTATGTGAAAATTCTGACCAAAGCCCAATGTAACGTAATGTACAGAGACAAATTATCTTGTTTCAATTCACTTTTCGATAGATGTTACTGGTTTAATATTATTAAACTGAATACAAATAGTTTTTATTATCATATTTATCCCAGTGCCTTTGAAGAAGTCAGTTTAACGATAAAAACGGTTACGTCAAGATAAGCTTGTAAATTTAAGATCATCGACAAACATTATGACATGTGAATTTGACAGATGAATTAAAGTGATGTGCAGACAATAGCGATCAATGGCCGGTGACGTCACTCGTATTGAGTGTCGTAAGTAGAGTTGAAAAAAAAACTCGCCTATGTTAACCGCACGCGTGGGCGCATAACCAGTTGGGAAGTTTTTTGCCGACAAGTGCACATGGCCTTGACCGGGCACGCCGTGCCGCCCAAATTACGACCGACCTACTTACGTATGCAATAAGCATGCATAGTATGATGCATTGAACTTATTGACAGATAATCTTGCATAGTCTTATTGGAAAGAACTGGTCTATTTTCGGTTCTGTTTTTGAAATGATGTGAGAAAAAAACTCAGAGCTTTATCGATTTTAAAAGTTTTATAGTGAACGATTTTGAAATTAATAAATAGTACACTTGTATATAAATATGTTGTACAAAGGATTTATATATAGGCGATAGTAAAATTATATCAAATTAAAGTGATGATCCTAACATTAATACAGAAAATTTTCAATACAAAATATTATTCTATAATGTTTGTTGAAATCTCATTTCTTTGAGAAAAGCCGGAGTCTACTTTTACATGCGTTGGCTTCACGACCTAGATCACGTCATGACTCAAGAATGCTACAATATTACTGTGGCTGGTTCTTAAAAAAGGATGCAAGTGAAAACTGAGTTGAAAGTTAATATTAAACCAATTTAAGGCCACGATTGGACAAGATCACGGAAAGACATGAAAATAGGATGTGAACTAAAATATAAAATTCAGACGAAGCAGTGAAACCATGATCTTATATTAAAAGAGATCATCGGAGATTTTTTAAGTGTACAAATTAGTTCTTTTCTTTCTCGCAAGTGATTGAGCCTTGAGACGCTACCGAGACAATATCACATCTTATATGGTCAAACTGACTCCAACCGTGCTGACATTGACCGTTCCGAACGATTTCTAAATCGGAGGGCTATATAATGTGGCGGTATATATGTAATTGCGGCATGCACGCGCTCATAAAGCGCCAGTACTTTCCCCCGACCCAGTGCCCTCTCTGAGAAGCCGGCTGACCCACAACGTTCTTGCGATTCCATAATGTCGCGTATTTTATTTGACATTTGCCGTGGCTCATTACACTTCCCACGTACAGTTATATCTAATGACGAATCTCTGTCTGTGAATGTGACGATTGTCCACTCCGATGTGCCGCGGCGTAATTGATCGTGGTACGCTTCTGAGCGCGCTCCATGCCCCGATGTCGTGATAGGCGATTTTGCACTTCGTACTACACTGATTTTCGCGTACAGATAGCGTACGCGATAATGATAAGAGATGTATTCCATATTGCCGTTTTTGAAATAGAACTTTTTGTACGGTTGGCACGTGATGTAATGTGTGTA